GAAAATGGCCGTGGACCACATGTCAGGGGCGGAAAATGGCCGTGGACCACGTGTCAGGGATGGAAAAATGGCCGCAGACCACGTGTCAGGGGCGGGAAAATGGCCACAGACCACGTGTCGGGGTGGAAAAATGGCCACGGACCATGTCACAGGAGGGAAAATGGCCATGTATCCTGTTCGTAACCCAAGGCGGAGTTCGCGAACTGAAGCAAAATTTTGCAGCCGGAGCTGGTCGTCACCCGAAAAGTTCATGAACAGAAGCGTTCGTAACCTGAGGTTCCACTGTACTGAGGTATTAAAACAGCAAGTTTCCTAGAGAGACTTCTTTAATCCAGTATACATTTGGGACTATATCTTTGGCCTAGAGTAGGAGAAAATGCCATTATTTATATGTTAGCTTTTCATTCTCCAATATAGTTCTATAAATCTTACATGTATCATGGAAAGCAGAGCAAAATACTGTCTACATATAATCAGTTTTTCTGAAAACCTTTGTTTATAGTTCATTGATCTGTCTTCTTCTGCCTTTCCTGCCTTGGATATACAGGATGTAGAAAAAAGCATCTTTAATTAAAAATGCATGGTATTTTTTCCTTTGGGGAAAATTTTGCAAATATGGTTCAATATTTTCAGCTTTTAATTTAATTTATATTAGACATATATTGCAGAATAAAAATACCAACATCTTCCTTTTCTAAGCTACCCACCCAATGCACATATGGAACATTAAAGTAAATTCATCATTGCACACATGCGGTTTTGCTCACAATGGGAATTTAGCTTTGCCTTTTCCTCTTGCTACTCATATCTCAAAATCTGAGATATTCCTCCAAAGGACCACCAGCTGATAGTAGGTGCACATGTACATCCTATTTATATGGATGTGCATAGTTTTGGTGATAATATATCATTCTACAGCAGATTAATAGCATTGGCATATTCCCTTAGGAACATGGTTTGAAAAATACGTAAGTAAAAATTGCTTTCTAATCAGAAAGATTAATTTGAAAATTATTACCCAGGGCTTGGTCCTGCCCTATTCAGGAATGGAAAGTTTATCCATTTTTCTCTCCTCAAGAGAATTTGGGTTCCTTTCTGCACTAATTACCGTTAAAAAAAATTGGCAGACAAAGCCACATACGTTTTTGTGTATATTCTATTTTTGTGTATCCTTTTCTAAAGGATGTTTTTTCCTCTAACTGACATATTTCTGTGTGTATGTATTGAGATCTGAACTGCTCCACAATGTTTTAAATAGTGAAAAGGTCTCAATGAAATGTGTTATAGTTTACACAGAGGTTTGGGAATGCAAAATGTATCAGACTGCATTAAAATGTAAAGAAAACATATTTTTCTGCCATCCATAGGCAATCTTCATCTATTATATAGTATAACCCAAGTGTCAGGAGCTGGATATCAAATAACACCATGCCCCAGGGGACCCCACAGCCAATCTCCAGAGGCCTCAGTTTTATTCCTCCCTGCAACAGTTGGTATCTTCTTCAGGAATGCTAACAGCAAAACCAAACCAAAACAAACAGACTCAGGTTGCCTTGAGCTGAACTGAAGAAGAAGGTAGATCAATATTTGGGTCCAGCTAGGAAGATAAAAAGTAAATATTTGCAGGTTTTGATTACATTCAGTGGTTAACAACACATATCTTGAAAAAATTAGGACCTTTCCAAAAGTCTGTCATCAGTAACAACTGAGTTCATTTAGCAGTGAACGAGTAGGCCTCCTGTGGAAATAGTAAAATTCAAAAATTCTTGCCTGCCTTTGAAATATTCATTCTTACATATTAATGTGGTGGTCATATTTAAGCAAATGTATGGCTTCCCCAACCCCAAATGGAGCAAATCCTTCAATCATCTGAGTAAGAGATCTTCTAAGTCAGGGTTCCTGACCCATGCTGGCTGGGGAATTCTGGGAGTTGAAGTCTACACATCTTCAAGTCTCCAAGGTTGAGGAATCCTGTTCTAAGTGCCCTAAAGAATTGTGCCAACTTCCTTTAATTGCACCAAGCCTGCTGTCATTCATATTTCAAGCAATGCTTGCCAGTATATTTGTATTTCGGCTTTGGGCTAAGATGAATTAGCTATGAGTTTCTGTGTACAGAGCCTCTTTGCTTCTCATTTCAGGGCATGCAACAATCCAACAAAGAACTCATAATAACGATCATTTATCATATTTTCATGCCTGGGAAAAAATGATTACTACTTCTTGGAAAAGTCAAAATATTAAACTTTAGTTGCCTTAGTGCTATTCTGTGTGTGTGTATATGTGTGTGTATGAATATCTTTTTTCTTGTTTCTGATAGAACAGGAAACTATAGTTAGAGAATTCTTGTTTTACTTGTGACTTTACCAAAACAGGAATAAAAGGAGAAAGACTTGTGAATATTTCAACTTAATCTAAGATATATTCACCCAAACTAGGTAAATGGGGAACGTCCATGAAATTATAAGAAGGCTATTTCTTGCAGGCATAATGTTATAACAGTTAGGTTTCTGAGTGCATTACCTTTTTATAAGTGGTTTATTTTTCAAACTACCCCTAATAAAAATGGGAAAAAAGAGAGAAAAAAAGTGTTCCAAGCCCAGCGCAGAAAGTAGCAATTTCACTAGTCTTGCTAATCTGGAGAAATGGGGATTCATGATTGATTTTAGATGTCTGTGTGTGTCTCTATGTGTATGTATATAAAATTATCTGGAATCAAAGGCCTCTTCACTGAAAGTTATGGATGGCAATCCACCAGGCTGGTTCAGTGTGGGTTGGTAGATAAATGTTTTTTGATCTCCCACTCTAGGGCTGAGATAGAGTGACTGGCCCAAAGTCATCCAATCAACTTCCATGCCCAAGGGAGGACTAGAACCTGGATTTTCCCATTCCTAGTCCAGCACCTTAATTACTATACCACATTAAGAAAGGCTGCTTCACAGAATACAAGAAGTTGCAAAAAGCTGTAAACAGAGCAATTAAAAATACATTTGTTATCAAGGGTGGTCAGGAAAAAGTAAATTTAATAAATTATTTTTATACAGAAGTTCTGGTGTCATATTGCTTAAATTTTCCAATGCAGTTTGAGTAGTACTGTTTGGCATTTTAATCACCTTGTTGAGTTTGGTTACGCCACCATATTTACATCTTAACACTCACCAAGTGTTTTACTACCAGCTGTTCCCTCCCAAAATAAAATTCTAAATTCTGAACTCTTTAAGTAATCATTGCTAATTAAAATTTCAGATTCTCTCATTCCAACAAGCTTTTGACAAGCCTCTTTTGTCAAGAGTAGCTTACATTTCCTATTTTCTTCTACCTTTCTCCCTCCCATTGCAGCTACACTGAAATCACTGATATCTCAAACTATGGTTCGTTGGGCCCAGGAAGATCAGATCCAAGATCCGGAATTAGTTCGTATTATGTTTAACTTACTTCGAAGGCAGTATGATAGCATTGGTGAGCTGTTGCAAGCTCTGAGGAAATCCTATACTATAAGTGCTGCCTCTGTGCAAGACACAATCAACTTATTAGCAGCACTGGGACAAATTCGTTCACTTCTTAGTGTCAGAATGGGAAAAGAAGAAGAATTACTAATGATTAATGGCCTAGGGTAAGAAATAAATATTTTAATGCCTTAAAAACAAAATTACAGTTAGAACATTAAGCTTTATTGATCCTCCGTTAAAACATATCCTAAGCCCATTTTCAAACCTGATTATTTTATTTATGAGACTGTTTGTGTTTGGGTCGTCTTTGGTGTACCTAGTTCAGGACTCTCTGTGGCAAAGGTCCTTCAGGGCCTAACGTACAAGATTTTTTCAAACCACCTCTGTTGATCCAATAACATATCCTATTAACGTTATAACAGGCAAGTGGCCTTCTTGTTTTCATATTAAAGTTAGTGTACACTGTCCCATGAAGACCTGAAGATCAGAATGGGGACAGATTGTTCTGGAGTAAACCTATGTGGGTGGTTGCTAACAGTCAACACTGACTTGAGGGACATAATCAGTACTTCTCCACAATAGGTCAGAACAATTCACTTGTTTCATTTCTGATATTTGTCCCTCCTCTTTGTGTGTTTTCAGTCAATGCACTTTTTTCCTTTTAAAACTGTCATATGTATATGCAAATTTAAGGAACGAAGTTGTAAGAGAGTAGGGTAACCCTTCCCTTTCTGAGAGTCCTGATTCTGATCAGTAATGGGAACCTGAGCACTTTAGAGTAAACAAAACAAAACCCAAAGCACAGCAATTCAAGAGTTTTAGCTCCTCCATATAATTAATGCAATTCAAGATTAATCCCCAATTCTTTTTCTGTTTTATCAATCTGACCTGGATTGAATTTGAGGACTTCTCCATCCAAAGCTTGTCACCTGCTCTTGAGTATGGCCTCAGTAAAGTAGGCAAGAAAAAAGCTGTCTTGTTTATGATACTAAACTTGCAATCTCTGTTACCCTCTTAGAATCAGAATGTAAATACTTTCATTCTTTTCTGAACTGTGAAACTAAAAAATGGTGCTGTTGTAAAATAAATAAAACGACTTCCTTTAATTTTTCTCTCACTTAGAGATATAATGAACAACAAAGTATTTTATCAGCATCCCAATCTCATGAGAGTCCTGGGTATGCATGAGACAGTTATGGAAGTAATGGTAAATGTGCTTGGAGGAGACAAATCACAGGTAATTTCACTAGTATTGTTGGTGTTTGATCCTTACTATAGGTAACAGATATTTTACAAGTATGCTATGCACATTTTATTTATTTATTTGATTTCTGTAGCTGCCAATCTCAACAAGTGACTCTGGGTGGCACACAATCAAAAAAACATAAAACAATTAAAACAATATAAAATAAATATATATGGTCGCCAAGTAAAACGATTGCCACATATGTTAATAGCCAAGAAATGGGGTCCTTAATACACTCAGGGCCCCAGGCACATAACCAGATCCTCGGGGCCTTATATTGAAAGCTATTGACTGAATTCAAAGTGGCATGAATTGAATGAATTGAATTGTGAATTGTCTATGCAGTTTCTTTCCTTAAAGAATGATTATACAGTATGTATATATAAAAGATTTTGGAAGTTTAGAATATCTTATTTTTATTATTATTGTTCTACTGAAACTATTTAAGAAACATATTTTTATATTAATCATGTTTTAATACCTAACTTTATATGTAGTTTTCATGTAATTTCAAAGGCTGCAGTCTGGCACACAGCTCTACCCTTGTCTTAAATTTAGATGATAATTCTTGGCTGACTTAAAAGTAAAGGAAACAGCAGTCTTAACTGATTCTGCTTTCCTGTTGCACTATTACTTGTATCATTATTCTTGTTTTATTTTCTATGTCCTATCCCCAAATCTTCACTGACAGTAGAAAGAGGCTCTAAGATACTGAACAAGGTGATCCTAAAGACTGCAGAGGCAATTGGGTAGTATGCATTCAACCTTTTTTAATTAGTAGGATTTTAAAGTGGTGTGCCCCTTCCTTAAGAGGCCATCCTTGGACCCAACTGTGTTAGACAACTTTCATCCAGTCTCCAACCTTCCCTTTTTGGGGAAGGCTGTTGAGAGGGTAGTTGGCATGCACCTTTAGAGGGCCCTGAATGAAGTGGATTATCTGGACCCTTTTCAGCCTGGGTTCAGGCTGGGGTGTAGCACTGAGACTGCATTGGTTGCGCTTGCTAATGATCTTTGGAGGGCTCAGGATGGTGGTGGTACAACTGTCCTGGCTCTCCTGGATCTTTCAACAGCTTTCAATACCATCAATCATGGTATCCTTCTGGACCAGCTCTGGGAGTTGGAGGGGGAGGCAGCATTCCATGGCTGGTTCCAGTCAGTGTTGGTGGATGAAGAGAGGTCAGGCCCTAGGCCCCTGCAGTGTGGGGTTCCTCAGAGCTTGAGTCTCTCCCCTCTCCTCTTTAACATCTTCATGAAACAGCTGGGTGAGGTCATCCAACAACATGGGGTACAGTATCATCAGTACGCTAATGAAACCCAACTACACAACTCTACCCCTGGGGCAGGTGATGCTGTTGCAGTGCTGTCCAAGAGTCTGGAGGCTGTAAGGGTCTGGATAGGGATGAACCGACTTCAACTGACCCCTGGCAAGATGCAGTGGCTCTGGGTTTTTGGCCACCCAGGGTCTGGTAACTTGTCATCTTTGATCTGGACAGGGTTGCACTCCCCTGGACCGAGCTGGTACACATTTTGGGGGTTCTCCTGGCCTTCCAGCTCCTGCTTGATGAGGAGGTGGCAGCTGGGCCTGGGGGAGGGGAGCTTTGCATAGATCCATCTTGTGCACCAATTGCACCCTTTCCTGGATCAGGAGGCCTTGCTCATGGTCACTCACACCTTAGTCACTTCCCGTTTGGACTACTGCAATGTGTTTTACATAGGGCTGCTCTTGAAAACCACTCGGAAGTTACAACTGGTCCAGAATGTAACGGTGAGCACTGTATTGGGTGTTCATAGGTTCACCCATGTTACACCTCTATTGCGCAAGCTGCACTGGCTCCCAGTTTCCTTCTAGGTGCACTTCAAGGTGCTGGTTATCACCTTTAAAGCTGTACATGGCACAGGACATAGTTATTTGCAGGACCGACTCTCCCTAAGAATATCTGCCCATCCCACCAGATAAGGATAGGGTAGGCACGCTCCAGATCCCTTCCCTGAAATCCTGCCACCTAGTGGGACCTCGGAAGCATGCCTTTTCCATGGCTGCCTCTACCTTATGGAACACCTTTCCCCTGGCGATTCGGCAGGCCCCCACCCTTTTAGCCTTTTGGAAGGCTATTAAGACCTGGCTTTTTACCGAGGCACTGGGATAGGATAGAGTAGAATAGAAAGAATGGAATGAGGGTAATTGGAGCTTGCTGCACAGCATCCTAAGGGGATGATGAAGGTCAGGGTTTTTGTTTTTTGATCGTTTTATTGTTTTAGGTTTTTATGATTATGTTTTATAGTTACTGCTTTTACTGTTGTTGTGAGCCACCCAGAGTTGTTTAAGATGGATGTCTGTATAAATCTTTTAAATAAATAAACAAATAGAATAAACAGGTACATGTTAAAGTATGTACAAAAGATGTGAAAAAATGTACATGTGCTTGAAGCGTTCCTGTTTTAGTAAGAATCCAGTGCAGATAAATTATAATGTGCTGAAGATATCATGAAAGTTGAAAATCAATGCTCAGAGGAGAGGTGAGATAATAATAATCCAGAATGATTGGTTAAAATCATCTCCCTTTCTAGAAGTAGTTTCCTGCTAAAATACACTCACGTATTTGCATTTTGAAATAAATGTTAGTTCATTGGCGTTAGTCCAATTTCAATTTGGATTGCATGAACTAAAATTTCTATTCATAACAAGTGTATAGTTGAAGTCAGTGGGTCTAGGCAGGTGCTTAACTTGTCTTAGACTTGTTTGGTGTTCATTGAGAATCTGTGTGACACTATATTTTTTAAGATCCAGGTTTAAAACATTGTAACATTCGGGGGGACAGCACTACTTTACTGCTGGTTCGAATTCAGGATACCATGATTTGGTTATTGCTTTTCCCCCCCTAGGATGCATATTCCAACACTTGAACTCTCAGTGTGTAGTTGGGAAAGTCAATCTATATTGACCCATCTAAGCTTTACATTATGTACAGTGTGACGTTGGAAAAAGTTCACAGCAGAAGGGAGGATGCTCCTAAAAAGCCCACAACCACAAAAGGGGCCACAGCACAATAGATCATTGTGGACTCATTTCTGACACAAATAGGAGAAAAACATTTACAATAGGAAAGTAATAAACACACACAATATCCAGTGGGTGGTAGAGTGGCCATGCTCTTAAGATAAAGTAACCGTCTTTCAACTCACATGGAAGCTTCTGAAAGAAAGTTGATTTCACTGAAGAAAGAAAGTTTGCTCCATCTGGAATGAGAGCTGCTGCTGTTATGACTCTGTTTTAGTTTGAACTTTTTATGTCACTTTCTCATGAACGGCTATTTGCTCTCTTATTTGTATACGCTGTAATCTGTATTCTTTCCAGTTCTGTTCCTTATACAATTAATAGAAAATGTATTATCAAAAGAAGTTAATTTCATCATTAGATTGCATCTATAACCTCTGTCAGAAATTAGTTTACATAGCGTGCTTGCCCCTGGACACTTTTGTGATCACTGGAAGAAGTTTGATAGCAATGGATTATGCATTTAGTTCTTCAAACAGATGGTTTGAAAATAATTTTACATGACATTTCCATCACTGAATCGGAAAGTAGAAATAAAATCACAAGATTTCTACTATATTCTTCTAACATGTGACATTATGTTCCACTGCAAAGCTAATTACTTAGCCTTAAGACTGTTGGCTGAATGTCACAAATCCTGCAATGTAATTATACAAGCGTAGCCCATGCATCTATATATAGTTATTGTTAAAAACTGAAGCAATTTTAATTTAATACAGATAATAAAAATGGTGAAAAACGATACTCTTTCACTGAGAAAAAAAACAAGTCAGTACATGTTCACATTTTAATTCTTTTCTCAGACGCAATCAGATGATACAATGTTAAAATGAGTAGGAAAAAATCCTCATAAAATAATTGCCTGCTGTCAGCAAGATTTGGTGTAATAGTGTACCATTTATCATTATTCAAGTGGCTGAATTCCAAAGTAATATTAATGCAGATACTTTAGAAGGTTTAATGATTATTGTGGTGCTCTGCTATTTGACACTTGAACGATTGTGGCATTTTACTCAGAAATATATATGACAAATGTTTTAAGATGTCAGAAGGAAATTGCTAATGGCTTTGAGTATTGACCCAGACATGTTCTCCATGATGAAAATGCTTTTAGTATTAGATAGAAATTGCTGATTTTCACTTCTATTACTACATACATGATAATATAGAAATATTGTGGATTTCTTATACATATTTGGATTGAGAGACAGTGATTTGTCCAAGCCAACTAATGGTTTTGTGGTTGAGTAGAAGCTTGAACCTGGGTTTTTACAGTCCAAATCCAGCACTTCAATCACTACATTATGCTATTTCTAGGGTAGAGACTGAAGAGCAAGTTGTGTCTCCAGAGTATATACAGGTAGTCCCTGGGTTAAGAATGCCCAGTTTAAGGACAACCCATAGTTAAGAATGGAGCCTATTGTAGCAAAATTCAAGTTAAA